ACACCCAGAACCCTCGAACCTGCCCCCCCCCCTTCCTGCTGGCCGGAACCAGTGCTGGGCCAGCTCAGACAACCAGACGACTCCGGCGCGCACGGCTTCTTTGAAGGAGGCTGCTCCGTAGAAGGCGCCAGCCCCACATCTATGGAGAAGGCCCGCGCCTTCTACGAAGCAGGCGTGCTTCTAAGAAGCCCTCCCCGCTCCCCCCACCCCCACTGCGCGTGGCTGACTTTGGGCCCGCGGCTCCGGGAAAAACTGGGCGTCGCTGTTCACCACCATCGCGCACGGAGAGCCAAGCCTCTGCACCTGGCGGGGGCCCCGCTGCTGCCTCAACTTTGCGGAGCCGGCTCGCAGCGGCCCCGTTCGAAGAGCGCGCCCGAACTTTGGCGCGGCATCGCATCGCGTGCACAGACCTCCAACGTGTTGAACAAGATCCAGCCAGAGGCTTGTCGTCGTTTTCGGTGGCTGGGGGTCCTCGCCAAGCTCTAGGACATTGGACAAAAAACCAAGCGGAAGTTTGTCGTCGTTTTCGGCAGCTGGGGGCCTCGCCAAGCTCCAGGACCGTCATCAAAAGGATTATTCCGGGCGAAAAGTGGCCTCCGGGAAGTGGTCCAGAGGGCTCGGCCTTGGAGACATTTTTTATTCGCGAGAACGCGCGTGAGCGCCCCCCCCCTCCCCCGTGGTCACTTGACGGTTCGCGTGACGTTACGGGCTCCCTGCCCCCCCCCCTCCCCACTGTCATGCCCAATCCCACCCGTTATCGCCTGGCCACGCCGTCATCGCCACGCGCGTCACGCCTGGTCACGCCCGTTTGTGGACCGAACACGCCCCGTGACGTGACGTTCCACCCGGCCACGCCTGTCAATTTTCACCGGGTGAAAGAAAAATTGCCTCTCTGCAGGCCGGGAACGAAATCGGTTTGTGATGAATCGCATCAACCGGAACCGACGTCTGGGCCCAGACATCTGGCTGCTCCAATTTTGTCGATTCGAGTGCCCTGGAGGTCAGGACCAATTCCCTTGGGCAAGGTTTTCGCTCTGCGTCGTTTTGTTGACGGTCCCAAGGCCCGGCGAGGGCCCCGTCCCCAGAGGCCGAAAACGGCCCCAAACCAGCCGCTCGAATTTTTGCAGGGATCGTCAGATCTCTGGGGGGATCATGTCGGATCGGATCGTGTCGTGGGCAGCAGTGGGCAAACGAAAAGGTACCGATACCACCACTCCCCGGACCTCCCCCAGGAATTTCGACGCGAATCCAGCGGTGGCGACGAGGGTCTCTGAGGAGGCCGAAAAAAGGGGAAACGGGCGAAGGATAGCGGTGTGGGTACTTTTCCCTCTTCTGAGGCCGGGCCTGGTGCGCCAGCAGGTTGGCGCGCTTCCACTGCAGCTCGTTCGCCATCACCATGCCGCGGGGCGCCGACGAGCTCGCCCCCGCCTGCTGGGAGCAGCGCGAGACTTGCGGGCTCGAAGGTTCGAGAATCGCAAGCTCGAGGTTCGGAGGCTCGACGATCCGAGGACCGCAAGCTGACGAGTTCGAGATTCGAAGGCTCGAGGTTCGAAGGCTCGACGAATCGAGGCTCGACGGCTGGAGAGTGCGAGGTCGGGAGGCTGGAAAGCACGAGGATGCTGGACGGCTGTTTGAGCCGACCTCGTGGCTGCATCTGGATTCTTCCCAAAATTCTGGCCAGGAGACATCCCTTGACAGGCCTGAGGGTGAGGGGTATATTTTCCTCCCGAGTCCACACGTCTAGCAGATGGTTTTAACAATCTAACCTTATTCTTAAATCCTGGCGCGGTTCTTCGGATTTGGCCTCCAAATCCCGCTTTTGTGCACCCCAAAGCCCCTCCCGAACCCAAATCAATCCGGGATAGATAGCTGCCCCCCCAGGAAGGGGGTCGAGAGCCCTGGGGTCTCGGATGGAAAACAAACGTCTCGTCGGATGTCTGGGAAGCTGGCACGAGAGAGGACGGAGCAGCCATACATGGATCGGGCCCAAGGCCAGACAGAGGGATCAAGCCCAAACAGACGGGCCCCAAACGAGTGAGAGGTGCTGGCCGTGGCTGGGGAAAACAGGAAGGGACCTCGACAGGACTTGGAAGACTGGACGGTGTGGCCTGGCCACTCCAGCTCCCCATGCACGTCGCTGGGCCCTGAACTCCGACTCTGCGCTCGCACCACTCCTCCCCCGAGCGACGTTTCCAACAAAACGTCAACGCACTCGTTGCTTCGGCGAATGGAACGTGGTGTCCTACCGCCCGCGGCTCACGCGTGAACGGCCTGACCGACTCATTCAGTGACGAGGCCCTTCCGTAACGATCCCCTCGTCCGCGACGCTTCCCTCTGGCCGCTTGCCCACGTCTTGGAGCGAGGCGAGAGGGGTTACGGATGGGGTCGGTCTGCTAGGCCAGCCCAGACATCCGACGATTTTTGAATCTTTCATCGTGCGACCCCAGACGTCCCCGTCCCTTCCAAGGGGTAATTTTCCGTCCCGCATCCACTGTTAACTGGGCCCGAGAACGGGGCCGAGACCCGGAGGAGGAGGAGGAGGAGGAGGAGGAGGAGGAGGGCGAGGAGGAGGAGGAGGAGGAGGAGGAGGAGGAGGAGGGAGCCGAGGAAGCCGAATGGGATTGAAACACACACACACACACACATCTCGTCGGAGATCGGGGGGTCGGCCAGCGAACCGTGCACGAGGCGTGCGACGGTCTTCGCCCTTCTCGCACTGCTCCGACGACGACGACGACGACGACGACGACGACGACGACGACGACGAACAACGACGACGACGACGACGACGACGACGACGGACGACGACGACGACGACGACGACGACGGCGACGACGACGACGACGACGGACAACGGACGACGACGGACGGCGGACGACCCTCCAGGGGGTCGGCAGGCGGCGCGCGCACACGCGCGCGCTTTCGGGCGGCGCCTCCTCGACCGGCAACCATCGACCTCCTGCTCATGGCCAGCGTGCCTGCCCTCCTCCTTTTCCTCCTCCTCCTCCTCCTCCTCCTCCTCCTCCTCCGCCTCCTCCTCCTCCTCCTCCTCCTCCACCTCCACCTCCTCGTCCCCCTCCTCCCCCTCCGGCGGCTCGCGCGAGTCTCCCCCGCGCCCCGAGCTCTTTGGTCGGCACCGGGGGGGCCTGGCAAAGTGGGGTAAACGTCGACCTGGAATCGGCAATGTATCGCCGGTAGATCGGCGATAGGCCCCCTACAGAGAGACCGCACATTCGCGGGTGTGTCGCGGGTGGGACGGCGACAACAAACAACAACAAACAACAACAACAGCAACACCAACAACACCACCACCAACAACACCACCACCACCAACAACACCAACAACAACAGCAACAGCAACAACAGCAGCAACAGCAACAGCAACAGCAGCAGCAACGACGCCAACACCAACAACAACCACAACCACAACCACAACCACAACAACGACAACAACAACGCAACAAACATCATCCTCACCACGGATCGACACTTCGGCCATGCACCCACCCAGGGACAATGAATGACCGTTCGGCCCCATCACTCGGATGTATTCACACAAACACTAGAACCACGCGCGTGCTTCGCCCGCGCCTTGGTTCTAGCGCGCCCCCGCCCTCGACGGCAACACGGCTGCCCTAACAAGTGGACAAACAGAAAGCTTCAAATAAGCATGTGTGCAGACACCTATGGCGAGTAGAACCATCGCGCGCGCTTCGCGCGGGCTCAAGTTCTAGCTAGCTTGAAGGATAGCGCGTCGCGGAGGGAAAAAGAGAGGTCAGCAGTGGCAGGCAACCTGGTCGAATTAGCCACGATAGCGTCCTTCGTCCGTCGTCCTTCGTCCGTCGTCCTTCGTCCGTCGTCTGTCGTCGTCGCCACCCTCGTCGCCGTCGTCTGCGTCGTCGTCTGTCGTCTGAGGCGCTCTTCGTGGCCAAGGCTGGCTTCGTCTCGAAATTCTTGTCCAAACGTACCCCTGGGCATCGCATTTGTTTTTTGCATCTTGGGCTGTCTGGGAAGCCTTTGGGCGTCTCGGGAGCGTCGGGGGGGGGGTCTTGCGAGTTACGTGGGGCTTCCTGTTGGGCTTCCGGGAGCCCAGGGCTGGAAATGTCCGTTCGGCCCCCGCCTGGACCGCTGGGCTCTTGGGGGCCTCTTTCTGGCTTCCTGGATGCTGCTTGGGGCCGCTTGGGGGCCTCTTGGGAGCCTCTTGGGCTCTCTTGGGGGCCTCTTGGGGCATCCTCGGAGCATTCTGGACTGCTTCCTGAAGTCGTCATGGGACCTTCTTGGCATGTCTTCGGGGGCCTCTTAGAAAGAGTTTTGAAACCTTTTGGGTGCCGTCTTGGGGCCTCTTGGAGCCTCTTTTGGGCTTCTTTGGGGCCTCTTGGGGGCTTCCTGGGGGCTTCCTGGGGGCCTCTTGGGGGCATCTTGGGGTGGAGAGCTTGATTTTTCAGCTCGAGTTCCCTCTCTTGGGCCCCCCTTGGGGCCTTCTTGGGGCCCTCTTGCGCAGTCTTAGGCGGCTCTGGGGCCGTCTCGGGGCTCTCTTGGGCCGTCTTGGGGCCCTCTTGGGCTGTCTTGGAGCGGTCTTGGGAGCCTCTCCGGCGGTGCTTTAGCGCCGGAAACACGAAACAGCGAGAATGCAAAAAACATGGACTAAACCTATGGAGATCAACGATTTTGGCTTCTCGGGGCGGTCTTAGGCGGCATCTGAAAGGCCTCTTGGGGCGTCTTGGGGGCCTCCGAGGCAGTTTTAAACGCATCGTGCGTCGCCAGAGACCCCTGGAGGGCGTCTTGGGGGTGTCTCGAGACCGTCTGGGGCCGTCGGGATTGCTGTCTGAGGGCTCCCTGGGGCGGTTTTAAATCTCCCAGAGGCGGGCCCGGGCCCCTGCACACACACACACCACACACCACACACCACACACCACACACCACACACCACACACCACACACCACACACCACACACCACACACCACACACCACACACCACACACCACACACACACCACACA